CCCCCCCCCCCCCCCCCCCCCCCTTACAATGTTGCATGATCTTGACATGCATTTCGCAAAGCTTTCACTTAACCAATGTATAAGCTTTCAACATTGAACCGGGGGGAGAGGGGAAGTTAAACATTGCTGTTTTGCACGTATCAGTATTGGCCAAGGATGGTATTTCTATTTCCGCGCGCGCTGCATGTCCACAATAATTTTTGCCAGGATTGTAGTATTATATATCGTAGATTTCAGTATCAATTTTCTTTCTTTATATAGTGAAGCAAAAAGTGGTGTTTACAAGATTCAAGCAGAAACTAAGTCGAATTTCACAAAAGTGTACTGTGAAATGACATCACTTAGCTTGGCGAATGCACTGAGGGAGGCTGGACTCTAATGATGAAAATCAACGGATCACAGGTGAGAAATCACTTTGAGGAAGGATGATTTTCTTAAGATTTATGCATAATTATGGTGTAGTGCTACTGCAAGAAACTTTTATTATAGCTATACATACAGAAACATATATATTAAGAACGAGAAAAGGATAAAATGCGCCTTTCCCTGCATTTAGGGAGTGGAAGGAAGCTTCTATTATCGCTAATTTATCGCTGATAGATTCATCCATTAACTCTATAATCTACAGTGTTCGGAAACACCGAAGTGAAGGAGTGTATAATAATACCCAATCTGGGGAAATGAATGCAGTATGAATGCGTTCAATTCTAGACCTCATCAGTATACAGGCTTGGTATACGTCTAGATACGTGATGACCGCTACGTACAGTACTTAGATATATACACTACAAAAAATCCCTACATGGCTATTTTAACTAAAAGCGTGAGTAAATAAACAATGCTGGAATTTTTTTTTTCCATTTAATTAGTGTTTGTTGAGTGCTATCTTCGTGTATACGCAGCCTGGCTTGTGATCGAAATTACAATTTTGCAAAATATATTTTACACTATGTTAGTATGTATAAATTAAATATTGTTAAGATATATTTAGATGCATGGTCCATGGATTGGAATGAGTAGAAACGTCCCTTAGGTATAATACTTGTGCAGAGTAAAATGAAAGCGTTTATGATAAAGAAAGAAATTTTTAAAGAATTTTTTCAAGGAAATTAAACCTTACTTACAAAGAACATAATAGAGAAATTAGAAATTATTGAATCAAAACTATAATTCTATAGCTAATTTCTATTTCTAATTAACAGAGGAAATATAAATATATAACGTAACGTTGCAGATATTTTTATACACGAATATACAATTATAATATAAATTAAACATAACTGGTGGTTGCAACCAGCCCTATCGAAAACTATCAGACGTGACAATGACATACATCCAAAAACGTGCCGACTTAAGTCGGTTTTCCACTTCGCCGGTATCGTACCGAAACGTACTGGTGAGCATGCTCAGATTGAAAACAGGTTTATAAATCCACATACTTCTGAGCGGCAATATTTGTTAAAACTTTACTGAATGGATACTCGATTACTTGTGGCTATTATGGGTTGGCAAACTTCGACATTAATTTCGAACAATTTTATTCGTTGCCCTGTGCTAAAGGTGCAAAATAAAATCAGTAAACAGACATATATTGCTTGATTTAGCATTAGTTTTACTGCAACTGGTTAAAATTTAAGCAAAGATTGCTTAAACATTGCTTAAAAATAGTTACAAATTCCAATTCCTGTGAATAACGAACGAATTTGAAAGTGCAGTTCCAGTAAAACGGGCAACCTGTTGCCCCCGTGCTGCCCCCGCACTGTTTGGGCAGTGGGAGCAGTTGCCCCCGCTGCCCCCGTGGCTCCGGCGCCCCTGATAATATTTTACTTGTCAAATTCACAAACAATTCATGACGAAAATGCAAAGAAATGAATTTTCCATCAATGTCTGTAATGTTGGACTTGTGTTTGTAAAATCAGGCATAGTACTACAGTGTGGTGCCCTGAGCATGCGCAAAACAAGACATATTATTTTTGAATAGATACCAAGCGCATGGAAGGCTTATGATTCCGAACAAATCAACGGACTAACTGACTAACAGACTAAGAAAATGACGCAACAAATAAAATTTGACGCCTAACTTCGTTTGGGCACCGCAATCCCATATACCGATCCACCGGCCATGCTAATTATATTTACTTTATTTGTTTTAAAATTGTAGCTTTAGGTATATTAAAATATTTCAGCCAGTTCGTAAAATTATGGTCAGTCATCTTCGGCTCTACTCGGTCGTTGTAATCGAAGATCTTAATTGTCGTTTCAGAGTACTTTCAATTATTCTTCCAAATACTGGACCAACAAGGAGAGTTACAATCCAGAAGGGGGGCTCACATCTTTTGACAAAAACGAAACTAAGATAGCCTTATATCACAGTTTACATTTCAAAGAAATGTGTCTTGGAATGGCAGTGAATGACAAGCTCAGGTTCGTGATGTTATCTTTAACTGACACTGTAAGTTCGCTTTACAAGTTGATGGAAGATGAGAAGTATCTTCGTACTAGGCTTGGCGCCGATAAATGGAAATCTCTTATAGAAAATTCATCCCTACAAATACATGAATGCAAAGAAGGATTCAATCTGCAGCGTGTTAAATTTTGTGAGACGTGCAGTCGCGTAAGGCTTGGAATGACTGGCGATGAATGGGCTAATTGCAAATCACCCGATTCCTTTATTGGTTTTGGCGGACAGGGAAGTTCGACATGTGGCACTCCGACTCCAGAGCTGGTCTCCTGTGGAAACCTTGTCAGATGTAGGGATCATGAAGATAAAGAAATTCGTGCGTTTGGTTACATTTTTGTCCGTTAGCACGGGCGTTTGTAGTTATAGTTGTAAATTGGTACCATATATAAGAATTATCTTGGTTATATGAACTTCATTTTTGTTATATAATTTTCTGATTCGGATTCGTTTATCGTGTAACTAGTGACGTAATTATATAAGTGATTAAAGGCTTAATAATCAAAATGAAGTACTTTCCCAAAGGGTGCATTGTTGTTGACAGTATCGACGTTGTAAGAAAAAAGGAAGTATCGAGCGAATCAACATGCCTCTAGAAATAAATAGGAATGCTATAGTCAGACTCTTTGATCAATTTCCTAGTTGCTAGTTCAAAATTCAAAAATTATAGGGTACATGTCATTTCACATAGTTTCGTGTGGCCTTGCACATCTAGTTCTCCCGAAATGTTGATGAGCAAGAATACCTCATGAAAATACTGAATACTGACAATACTGAAGCAGGCATTCCCCGCCCAGAATCGATCAGTCACATGCAAACACTGTGAAGTACATATGTAGCCTAATTGCCCTTGGCTTTGGGCTTTGACTTTGTCGCCGATATAGTAGTTTAAGTACAGTATCTTTTATAGTATAATAACTTAGACAACGTCCTTATATAGTCTATATACAGTATATATACCGGCGCGGTCTGTTCCAGCAATTTAAACCCATCAAGCCTTTTCGTAGTTTCCCTAGCTTATATATAGTTATACGTATACATATTTGAAATATCGCTAGAATTTGTAAAATGTTATAGCCTAATTTTAATCAATCATATAAACAATACAGTAATTAAATCAAATAACGATCGTAATGTATAATAACTATAGTCGTTTCTGTTTCAAATTGTGATATATATACTGATACTGAGACTACTGAGTCTTGTACTGTGTATAATATTATAACTTTTAAATTGATTAAGTTGTTTAGTAAACGTTAAAGGTTCGTTCTAACATTGGTATCCACATGAGATCGGGCAGGTGGTCCGCATATACACCTTAAATTGATTTTGATGACAAAAACTTGTTTTCCAGTGTTTGCAATGTTTGTGTTTGTCTTTACAATCTACAAAGATAAAAGAAGGATAGATTGATTATTTTAAAAACAAAATTACTTATTTATATAAGAGAAGTGCTATTTCTTCATTTTGTCCGTGCATGCAAATGAACTTTAATTCTCCTAACAAAATATTGTGTTAGTTATAATTCGGCAGTAAAAGTTTTAAAATTTGATCTTTTCTAAAAAAAGGCGACTGCAATCTGTGGTAAGTTTGTTAAGCTAGGTAAACTTGGATCACATCAGTTAACGTGAAGAAAAGCAGGCATATTTCATGTAAAAAATTAACCAATGCACGAAATTCCAATTAAAAAACACGACGTTTTTAACTGTGTAAATTTTATTTTCTATCTTGAGTAGATCTTAACATTTTAGTTTATTTTTACGTTTTCGAAAATAATTTCTCCACTGTGAAAGCTCGACGTTGAAAGATTTTTTTAAAACCAACCGATATATCTAGTAGTAAAAATTAAAAAAAAAAATACATGTGTGCAGTAAAATTTTTCCATCCAAGGCATTCCTCTCCTTCACGCGTTCGCACTTCTCAGTTTTTTAGATCCATCTACTATATATTAGTTCTATTGAACGAAAGTTCTAACGAACCAGATACTCAAAAATCTCGCTATATACCCATATACCTATTATTGTGGGTTGGAGAGCGACCAGATTAAGGTTTGTGTCAGGCTTTACTTGTAAAAATCATAATCATATATTTAGCACAGGCGGAACTGTATATATACCGGTTCTGATATCTTTCGGTATAATATGTAAACGCTCCCATAACTTCATATTAAGGCTATAGTACATGCAAGGGATACAGTTGTCACTTTTTCAATGCATATATACATATATGCATGACACCTTAATTAACACCACGCAAACAACGTTTAATCTCCCATTATATATACTTTTCCCCAACAATCACAGTTGGATGGAGCAAAAATTAACCAAGTGTTGTATATTATATAATTTATTAGATAAATACTTACATCCTTCACAAGTTTTACAGCAATTCTTTTTCATGAAAGAATAATATCTATTGCCATCATACTTGACACAGTAGTCTTTCCAGCTCTCGCATTTAAAATGTACGTTCTTAGTACACGCAGTGCTTGTTGCTAAATGAACAGCGACAAGACAAAGGTAAAATTATAAAGAAAGTAAGCGGAAATAGCAGTTGCCATTGCTGACATTATTGTATTCGCAATCTTATATCTTAAATAATGCTCAGCCTATAATTAGTTCACTCATGCACAAAGAAAGGTGAACAAGTAATGATGGAATCTACCCAGTCCTAACAAAGAAAAATACAACTTGAATAACTTACGTTTTTTCGTCTCACATCTCACTCCAATGTACTCAGATGTACAACTGCAACTGTACTTATCCCCATTGTTCCTGCACAGCCCAGCATTTAAACAGGGAGCAGAGCTGCACGGAGATACTATAATGACAAGGTATATATATCTTATATACGTTGTATGGCCATGGTATACTTGGTATTTTGACACAACAAAATGAAAATTAGTGTCATGTCGTATTATTTCTTAAATATTAAGTGCACAAGATGCTTTTATTCTGGAAATTAATGACGATGTTTTTAAATTTGAATCTTTTTATGGATTTAAATGTAATAAAATATTTTACGGATATACTTGAGGCATAACTTAGGTGATGTGACCAAGGAGCGCGGGGGCTGTAGTTCCCCAAAAGTAGAAGTGGGTGGGCTGAAGGGGGAAAGTGCCCTTTCCCAAAAAAGTGGGAAAATTTAATATAAAGGTATCAGATTGTTCAGTACCTGAAATGCAAAATTAACAAAATGATATAGTTTCGCACGTCAACAGTCTCAGCAAGTTTCAAAATTTTCCGGGAAGCATGCCTCCGAACCCCTCTAGGTTTTACCTAGCCCCCACCCCCCCCCCCCGAAAAAAACGAAACAAATCTTTAGCCGCCCATGGTGTATAAGGCCAATTAATCTTACGAAAACATGCACACTTGGGTTCGACCCAGAGTCAGAATTAACTTGAAGCCGCCCTAACCCGGATTCGACCATGGTTAGTTTGATTATCGTTCCATGTTTCGCGCAATCGCGCACCAATATAGGTTAGGGTTAGGTATTAGGGTTAGGGGTTAGGTTAGGGTTAGGGTGTGTATATATGTGTATGGAGGTATCCAGTTAACTTTTCAGTACACTATAATATCCATTACATAACGTTTACTATATTGGCGCGCGAAACATGGAACGATTACGTATACCGTTAGTTTGACCCTTACTCCAGCACGAGTAGCGCTTAAACCAGCTTTGTTTTCCCCAGGTAAATCGGGCTTGAGTGAATTTCTGCTAAATTGGTTTGGGGTCACATCAGTTACTTAAGATGAGCATATTAAGTTATGATATTATTTTACCAGAACAGCAGTAGATGAAAATATTTGAATATTTCCTGTGTAATCTTGTGATTGAAAATGAAAGATTTTACTTTTGATACCTTTTCTTTCACAGCGAGTTCCAGTGTACCCAGATGTACAGCTACAACTATAGCTATCCCCAATATTCTTGCATACCCCGCTGTTCAAACATGGCGACGAACTGCACGGTTTGACTAGGAAAAAAGGAGTATGTATATTGAATTAATTGATAATTAAGTTTGATGATTTAATGATTTAACGAAATTCAGTAGCTACCAAAAATACAAACAATGCAGCGCCGGGGATTCGTAACGGGCTTCCCCAATTACGGAATTGGAAATCCCTTAATGCCGAAATCAAAGTTACATAACTGTTTAGAGCAGGGGTGAAACCATAGGCTGCCCAAAAGTGCGTGTTGTAATTTTTACCCTCGCGCGTGGCGCTCGGGCATGCATCGAGTCTACTCAGTTTATTATTATGACAAGGTTGGCAAGAATTTTAACGGAAATTTATTACAACGCTTACTAGAGTATGAATGTTTAGCAAATTACAAACAAAAACAATATAAAATCAACATCATTTCAAACACTGGTAATTTTACTACATTCTCTCAAAGTTTTAACTTCAAAAGTTCATTCTAAGGTTGTTAAAAAAGCGAAATATTTTCGGTTTTTTTGCAAAATTTTGTCAATACTATGCTGGGGTCACGTACCCTGTGGTGATGTCATATTTTTTAAATCTTGAAGAAGCGCTGATTTGCTGTTGTACACGATTCCAGTACAACAGCAAATCAGCGCTTCTTCAAGATTTAAAAAATGTGACATCACCACAGGGTACGTGACCCCAGCATAGTTTTGACAAAATTTTGCAAAAAACCCGAAAATATTTCGCTTTTTTAACAACCTTAGAATGAACTTTTGAAGTTAAAACTTTGAGAGAATGTAGTAAAATTACCAGTGTTTGAAATGATGTAGA